TGTGTGTGTGTGTGTGTGTGTGTGTGTGTGTGTGTGTGTGTGTGTGTCAGAGAACAGCTGCCATGTGGTGCTGGGAATTGAACCCGAGTCCTCTGGAAGAGCAGCCAGTGCTCTTAACCTCTGAGCCGTCTGCAGCCCGGGATGGCTGTGAACCCCCACTCTCAGTCAGTGCAGGGTGGAAGAGCTGAAATGGGGTGAGGTGTGGGGGTGGTGCCGGCCTGCTGGAGCCACCCCACTGGTCACCGGTCACCGAGCAGCGAGCCCTGACTGTGTGATCCCAAAGACAAGACCGAGAAGAGCAAGGTCAGTGCTGTGTCCTGGTGTGTCGGAGGACGCACATGTGAGTTTGTCTGGCGGAAGGCAGACAGAGGAGAGCGGGGATCGAGTAATCCACCAGGATGTCTTCTCTTTGCTTAGAATCAGTTATTTGGCCCCTTTAACGAAGATGGGCGCCGAGATTGTGCGGTGGTGAATGAACTGGGCAAACGAAGAGTCCTGGTGACAGGGGCAGCTGAGCAGCAGTCAGTATCGGGGAGCTCTCTCTCTCTCTCTCTCTCAGTGACTCCATTGAGGTCCGTCCCCACAGTTGCCAAATGCGGAGAAGTCTTGTCTTCTGGAGTGCATTTACAAGACCTTGGGTGGACAGAGATCCCCGCTGAGACCCTGCTGCCCTTTCCTGCCCTGAAGGCCCCGAGGTCAAAGCAATAAAACAGGCGTGAGCGGAGGCAGACAAACATTGCAGAGAAGACGGTGCTGTCCACAGACGTGCCTGTCGCTGGCTCTCTGTGGTGTGGGTCTACACGCATCTGTCGGTACCCAGATCCGGTTTCCTTCAAGCCATAGGAACAAACACAGACATGACCACAAGGACTGCGAGGTGGGCCCATAGCGGGGCTCCTTACCAGGCCACTGACACCTGCATCTGTTGTTTCAGCTCAGGAGATGGGAATTGCAAACAGCTGAAGCTCCTCCGGGGGCCTTTGGGCTGCCCAGCTCCCCATCACCATTTCAAAACATTAGCCAATTAAAAACTCCAAATCAAAATGAGGTTAGAAAACATTAGCACAGGAGCCAGGCCTCCGACTTCGGGACCTCCCCACAGGAGGAAACAGACACAGGAGGACAGAGGAAGGCTTGAAGAAGCAGCGGTTGAGGGCACGGGCTTTGGGGTCTACACTGGAGGCCAGGCCATTCCGTGCCCTGCCGGGGCATGTCACTGAGCTGGTGTGTCTGTGAGGTAGCCGGGAAGGACCTGGTTCCACTATAGCTGAGTGTTCGGTCATGTGTAGACGCATGCACGCCTGCTAATTCAGCACCCAGTACTTAGGAGACCCGACTTAGACGTGAGGTCCAAGGGACAGAGCTCCAGTGTGGCTGGCTTCAGCATGACCCCTGAAGAGAGACCTTTGACCTAGACGTGCCGAGGCTGGCCTTGGTCACCCGTTGTCTAAAACCACGAGATGGCCCGAGCCCCAACTTCTCGCCAAGGCTTTCCTCTTCATAGACTGTGGCTTGGGACCTTTCAGAGGGTCACTCTCTGTAACAGCGCTGGGCCCTGTAAAGACGCCCTTTCTCCTGCTCGTGTTCACACCACAGGCTTTGAGAGAGAAGGACAAACTTCACAGAGTCTGAAAAGGGAGGCAGAGGAGCTCCCTATGGTGGCACATGCCTGGAATCCCAGCACTTGGGGTGAGGGGCAGGACAACGGAGTCCATGGTCATTCCCAACAACTCAGCCAGGCCAGGGCTAGCCTGAGCTGCATAGGATCCCATCACAAAACCAAAGCAAGCAAGAAAAGAAAACTGACACTCCCTCTCACACCAGCCCCTGACACTCCCTCTCACACCAG